CGTTCATATTTTACCAGAATCAAATAAAATAAGAATTTTAATTGACATTTAATGCGTTTGTAAACAGTCATACACACTGAACATGCTTGTAGCACTAAGCTTTCATCTTTTTTGATTGCTGTAACCTTCAGCAATCGCTCCTTATTGTTATCTTTTAATAACTTTGTTCAGACGAAAACAGCCGGCCCGAACTCTACATACAATCACGATTAGTAAGTGAAATAATTGAATTCAACTTAAAATAAGTATCAGAGTAGTTGAATTTGAGATGAAATCAATTGAAGAAATGTTCCTATGTGATGGTGCTGGAAGATAAACTTGACTCTTATGATAACTTCTTATCTATAGGTTTGAATCGATCTAAAGAATTTTCTTAAGAGCCGTTGGGGCATTGCTAGGCCCTCTTCTGAAGCAGGACCATCAAACTGAGCCATATTTCTCTCTTCAAAACTCGGATCAGAAGACTTTGATGATAAGGAGCCTATCCGTACGCCCATTTATATGCCATTTTCTGTAATCAACCTAAAATCTCACCTATGGTTTACCAACATCTGTTGGTAAACAGTGTTCAATGACCTTCCAACTCTTGTGCATACTGCCTCGACAACTCAAACACATTTGAATATTTTCGTTATTTTCGATGCTCACCATGGGGAAACAAATCGCCTCGCCATGGGAATCTCAGCGATATCGTTTTCAAACTATTACATCTATCTCCACGCTCACGATCAGATATGCTAAGCAAGAACATAATTAATTCCTCCATATCATTAAATGGAAAAGATATGCATTGTCGAATGATAATATTCAAAAACCAGAGATACTTCTGCATTTCTAAACTTATACATTACAATCGAGTCATTCCATTGTGCCGCCTAAGTCTTACTATACATTCGATCCCATTGTCATCCATTATTGGGCCGTATGAATGAATCGGAAGACGAGTTCACGTGATACTGCCCCGTATCAGTGACTGTCAATGAATTTGGTGGATCTTGCATAGCACAGCAATATTTTATCACATCATATTGATTAACGCTCAACTGATTAATGAATACAAACATCGAAATTGAGTTGAGTTTAAAATGAAATAAACACTAATAATAATGGAACACGCAAAGATCAGGAAATGAACATTCCCATCCTACAATAAGTAAATAAATAAAGGGTGAAAACAGCACATAAACAGGTATTCCACATCAACAGAGATAACGTTTAGTGTACTTTTGAAGTACACAAGCAGATGATCGTAAACGTTTCATAAACTATTGTTCAATAAACTGTTCAATAAACCATTGTCACCAATCAAAATCGCTTTCTGTATGCGCTGAATCGTGATCCAGTTTCGCTGCAATCACCGAACTACCTGCAGATTTCTGCGATGCTTCTTGTGATTCCGGTGAATTTTTCTTAGACGGCTGCTCGTCAGTATCCTGAAACAACAACCATTATAAATCAAAAACCATACCAATAATAACAATGACATGCATTTATTGAACAATTTTTCGCATCCACAATACAAAATCAGACGTAATCTGAACAGATATCATATGAAAATTGAAAGTAATGCCAAGAAAGTTCAACAGTTTAAAATTTTGAAACAGAACACGACGATGAAAATGACAGAGCAATCATAGCGATATCAGTACCCATTTGAAATTTGTTTAACTGCAAATGAATAAGTTTGGTTCAAGGGACAGTTGGTTCAATTTTTTGAAAAATTTCGCCCATACGTGCAATAAAATCAACTCTAGCAATACTCTCACAATACAATATAACCAACCTTTCGTTGTTCTTTCGTCTCTTTTTCCTGTTCCCTCTTCTTCAAAACGATATTCATATATTGTTGCATAACAGGATCTATTTCATCTGAATGATTC